CTGTTCCAGTTCTCAGCGCACTGCTCTTCTTCTTCATTTGCAATGACCTCAATGACATTTTCATCGAGGTCATTGCGAGGAAAGAGGTTAGGGATAGGAGAAACATTTGGAACGCACCCTCTGTCTCTTTGTTATGTTACTTCCCATTTTAATTTGCAAGTATTTCTTGTCTTTTGTGTGTTGGATTTAGTTTTACTTCCTTTGTCTTGTGCTTTTTTATTTTCATGTTGTTTTCTCTGTAAGTTAAAGATGTGCCGTTTCATTCTCATGGATTTCTGTGTTTGTGGAAAGGTTCGCTCTTCTGTTTGCATCAGTGTGCCCGTGGCGTCTGCTTTTAGCTACTTTCTCCCAGCATATCATGACATGCAGATCTTCTCCATCTCATTTACTTTCCTTTCAGCTGATCTTTACTCTGCTTTCATTTATTACATCTTTCAGTCTGAATTGAACAGTTCAAGTTGCTGTTCCAGTCAAAACCAAATCAAACTTTAATAATATTACACAGTAGAAGAGCTGTAGTTGTTCAGAAGTTGACTATCAAGTAAAAGTCCTTGCACAAAAGAGGTTTTTTGGATTTTCTCAACAACAAAAATCCCTTTTTATAATCAAAACTAAAAAAAAAGAAGAAAGAAAACTTGCACAGTGAAGCAGAATTTGGAGCTTAGCAAGTTCAGGGTTAATATAAGTGGGTTTTCACTGTTTGAAGAGTTTGTACTTCTTACCAAAATGCATCGTCATGGAAACATTTGCTGCTGACGTGTCCTTTTCTGGAACAAGTTATGCTCCAGATAAGAGAACAGCAGGTGCAAAAGCAGAATTTGCTGACCAGCTCTTTGGAAAATATTTTCATGTTTCCTGGAATATCCCCTGGACCTCAGTGGATGGCTGGTTGGAGGGTCTAAAGTTTACAAAGCATTTAATGATTCTGTCTTTACCTGATGAGCATCAGAAATACAGATTCAAATTCAGTCTGCAGGTGATTTACAAACATTTTTATTGTCTTATGAGCCTAAATATCAGATCCAAAAACAGGACACTACCAGGGAATTAATGTTCTGCTGAGTCATCAGTGTTATCAGCTGATATTGGCTATTTGATGATCAGTATCAGGAGTTATGATGGCTGATAGGTGAACATTAAAAAAGTAAACAAGCGAGAAGGCAGAGAGCATTATTGCATTGCAAGTAAATAAATGAATAATTATTAATAATAATAAAGACATTAAATCAAATAAAAGGAATAAATAATGTATAACATATGTTGGGAAAAGTGTTGATAGGTTGTGTTCCTGGAAGAAAAAAACAATCGGGATCAAAATATTGGGTTTTTCACCAACCAGCTGATCTTTGTATCGCCGTTAAAAATCTAAAATGAGTCGACCTCTACCAGGGATGTTGTAGCAA